CTGAGGCCCACTCATACATACTAAGTGATTTTTCCAAAACCACACAAGTGGCTAGAAGTACAGCAGGGAAATGCCAAATCTTCTAACATTCAGAATTATTTGTTTCTTCTACATCACAATACCTCATTTATACCTCAATAAGCAGATGCCTCTATTCTGGCTTTTCATTTATGGTTACATGGAAAAAAACTGTAGTGACAAAAGCATGGCTCCAGAATCAGACAAACCTGGGATCTAAATTTTCTGACAAATTACACTACTTTAATATTAAGCTGTTCCTAATAGTTAAATGTTCTGGAAGAAATTATGATAAACCTATTCTTTTTTTTTTAATAGAGACAAGGTCTCACTATGTTGCCCAGGCTGGTCTTAAACTCTTGGCCTAAAAGATCCTCAGCCTTCCAAAGTGGTGGGATTAGAGGCATGAGCCACAGCACCCAGCCAATAAACCTATACTCTTTTTTTTTTTTTTTTTTTGAGACAGAGTCTCACTTTGTTGCTCGGGCTAGAGTGCCATGGCGTCAGCCTAGCTCACAGCAACCTCAAACTCCTGGGCTCAAGCAATTCTCCTGCCTCAGTCTCCCAAATAGCTGGGACTACAGGCATGTGCTACCATGCCTGGCTAATTTTTTCCATATATTTTTAGTTGGCCAATTAATTTCTTTCTATTTTTTTTTAGTAGAGACGGGGTGCTGCTCCTGCTCAGGCTGGTTTCGAACTCCTGACCTTGAGCGATCCTCCCACCTCCGCCTTCCAGAGTGCTAGGATTACAGGCATGAGCCACCACACCCAGCCTAAACCTATACTCTTAACAAAAGATTGGGCATCTGAGTTTGCACCTGCTTATTAGGCTTTATGTTCCTGTTCCAGGATTTTGTAACAGATTATATGAATACTATTCAGCAAAGCTAACTCAAAAGAACAGTAATATTATTAGGTAATATTATTACTAATCAATGACTTGTTAAAAAACAGCCACACCAAATAAACTTTAGGGCTTACTTCATCCTAAAAGGGTAACTAGTAAATTAAGGAGGTAATACATAATCAAGGAAATGGCAGTTCAAAAGTATAAATATTTTTCCTGTGTTGTAACAGAGCCCTCAAATTTCTGCATCTATTTATACCATTTTCTACATCTCTACTAAATAATTTTGATAAATCTGTTTCTCAAAAAAATGCCTTCAAATGGAAACCACTGTCTATACCACAAGCATGTACTTTTTTTAATATAAAAAATTGTTTATTACTGAAAACATTGCCTAAACTGAAAGTACAACTTCTCAATTCTGGTATTCTAGAAATTGTACACAAATATTCTACTAGTTAGGTTGAAAGGAAAAAAAATGCCAACCATATTTTTCAGCCCTAAAATTCTCTTTGCATTCATGTCTTAAAAATGCTGAATTAGGCAGGGCACAGTGGCTTAGTCCTACAATCCTAGCACTTTGGGAGGCAGAGGCAGGACTGCATGAGGTCAGGAGTTTGAGACCAGGAGGGAGACTCTCTTTTGTCTCTACAAATAATGGAAAAATTAGCAGGGCGTGGTGGTGGGTGCCTGTAGTCCCAGCTACTCTGGAGGCTGAGGCAGGAGAATTGCTTGAAAGCCCAGGAGTTTGAAGTTACAGTGAGCTAAGATTTCACCACTGTACTCTAGCCCAAGACCCTGTCTCCAAAAAAACCAAACCAAACAAAAAACAACAATGCTCCATCAAGCCAGGTGTGGTTGCTCACACCTGTAATCCCAGCACTTTGGGAGGCCAAGGGTTTGAGACCAGCCTGGGCAACATATGAAGACCCCCCTCTCTACAAAAAATTTAAAAATTATTTGGGTGTAGTTGTGCACACCTGTAGTCTCAGCTACTTAGGAGGTTGAGGCAGAAAGATACCTTGGACCCAGGCATGTGAGGCTGCAGTGAGCTATGATCATGCCACTGCACTCCAGCCTGGGCAACCCGGTCTTTAAAATAAGAAAAAAAAACAAAACAAAAAACCCAAACCCAAAACTGCTGAATCATGAAATAAAGAAAACACACAATTCAAGTAGTTCATCTCAAATTTCAAGCTTCCTAAGTGTGATATCTATGTCTTGCTAAGCATTTAGAAGTAACTGAAGAGTCAAGCTCATTCTCAGAAACTGTGAACTCGAGGGTACAACTAAAAGCACTTATTTCTGCAAGTTATTACACTTTCAACTTCCTGTTTTATTTAGACAGCTCATCATGACCATTTCAGGTAATGATGAAGAAGTTAAAAAAACCCAACTTCCTCTTTATAAAGTGATAAAAACTTCAGCAGTTAGTTATGAGAATGGATGATTTTACTAGCTTGTACATAATACTTGCAAGGAAATCATAGACCATCATCACCAAATTCACCTCATGGTTTACTGCTTTAAAAAATGTAACAAAGATAAAAAGCAATATTAAAATATATTTGGCAACAAAAATAATATGCTAGAAGATAAGAAGAAACTGGTCACAGATCTTGTTATAAAACCAAGACTATTGATGTTATTAATTAAAACACTGTAATATCTAAAGCTATCTTAATTGGCACTTTGAAATTCACACATATTTTCCCAAGTTTAACTAAAAAGGTATTCTAACCTAATGTCAAAGACAAAAATCCAACAACCCTGGTAATTGTGTATGACTTGGGAACAACAAACTTCAAAAGTTTATTATCTAAATTCTTTGTGAAATTTAGTTAAAATAGAAGAATTTTTTTTTTTTTTTTTTTGCTTAAGATAGAAGAATTATCAGTTGGGCTAACAAATATTAGCCTAGTATTTTCACTGTATTTTAATCTTATTTGAATCATAACTGTTTACCTCAGAACAAACATTTTATTATAGTTTTCTTTCTAGCATAAGCTCACAGGTCTTTTTTTCCAAACTCTTAAACATTTATGACAATCAGTTTATAAATAAGAGAAAAACTAATGCTGAAGTGTTGTTCAATGACTGGTAAGTAGAGCAATTCACCATTTCAAAATGGCATGCCATATGTAAGTATATCAAATTATTGTGTACATCAGACTCTTGGATCATACAGTCCCCTCCCCCATCCCAATCTCTTATTTAAAAAAGAGCCAAGACAGGTTTACAGAACACTCAAGGGTGCACATTTTGCAATAGGCACCACGGGAAACAAAAGACATAATTCTTGTCCTATAATAAGTTACCTAGAGAGGTCATTCTAATTTCTACCGGCCCCCTAAAATCACGTATTTACTGAAAAGCCTGTTACGAAAGGTGTGCAATTGTCAGGAAAAAAAAAGTTACTACACCTGAGATTATGCTTTTGTATTTAAGACACTTTTCAAGAAATAAATACACAAACTGTACACTGACAAATCCAGCTATAATCAAAGACTCCACAGCGGAGTATCAAAGAAGGCAGGATGCTTTGTTCAGACTTGAATGTGTTAACATGAGATTTATGTGTTATATAAAACCTTCTGGAGATTAAGAAAATCCATTGGCTATTACTGATTTGATAACAAGAAACCGAAAAGTAGTTTTCAAAAATTACAGTTAAGAGGATGTAAGACCGGGGTCGGGGTCCGGACGGGGGTGGGGGTCGCGGTATATGTACACACAATCAATCAACGGAGTGTCTATGGGGAAAAGGCTGGTGTCCAAACTCTGAAGCAAATGCCCTGAGGCTTACACATTAATTATAGAGAAGAGGCAATAAACAGTACGTGAGAAAAGAAGTGGATGTGCAGTGAGGTGGACAGCACTTAGGGACCTTTCTCCCTGTCGAGGAGTCGTGACAGCAAAATCACTTCCTGAGGAAGGAGGAGCAAAAGGGAAGTTAAGAGGCCACCCTGACCAGGAAGTGACTCGCCCTAAACTAACCCCAATCACACTTAAAAATGGGGGGATGGGTGAGCCCCAACAGCTAAAGGCGGCAAAATAACCGCTTTTAGATACGCCGCGACATAATCAACGCCCTCTCTCATAATTACAAAAAGGAGTCCACAGTTACCATTCAATAAGGGAAAAGTCTTTTCTCTTGCAGGAAGGCCACTGGGCTGTGCCTCGGGCCCAGAAGGAAAAGAAGAGAGTTGAGGAATGGGAAACTGGGGCCACCGTGAGGCAGAGGAAAGCCCCTTAAGAGCGAAGCGTCCCGACTGCAGAGACAATATGTCAGCACAGGCCAAGAAGCTTCTTTTTCCTGGGGACACTGCCTGGCTTCCTACCGCAGCCGGGTCGGGCCCCAGTTCCCTATCGGGGGAGGAGGTAACAGAGAGAGGCGGACCCCTTACCTTCTCCTCATCCGACACCCGATCCTCGAAGTCGGCCATCTTGGGCTGCTCTGGCCCAGCCCGGCCGCAGGCGCGAGGCAGGCCGGGAAGGAAGCAGAGTGATGGAATCACCGCGGGGGCAGTCGGAAGGACCCGCCCGGAAACGCAGATCAAGAGGGCGCCATGTCAGTTACGCGTGGGGTGACAACTCCCAGCGCCAGTGCCCTGGGACGTCGGCTTTTCCTTAAGTGACTTGAAGTCTAATCTCTTTCTCACTGAGTTACAATCATTTCCCCATTCATCTGTTGGACGCTGGCAGCTCGTTTCGACTGTTCTTGGCGCCTGGGCTCCATCCGACCCAATAGCAGTTGCTACTCCTATAAGTTTTCCTGGTACCAGTGATTTCCATGGCAGCCGAGTCCAAAGCACTAAGAGCTGCTCGGCCTCTGGAACAATCGGTGGCTTTTCCAGTCCCAGGAATGGGGTGAGTGGAAGCAATAACGCTTCACTCCGGGGTCACATCTCAGTCCAGTTCCTTCAGAGCAGACGCCGCAATCTGTCCTTCCCCGCCCCCCGAAGGAATAGGTAGCCCCAGTCCTAGGACTCGCTTCTCCACCTTCCAATCTTCTCGGTTCCCGTTTCCCAGGACTCTCAGCCTTCACGGAGGCCAACTTCAGATCCGCCACTATCCCAGGATTCCCGACTCCGGGTTTCCTGCCCTTCCCTCCCAGCTCCTGGCGCCTGCGAGAGCTGCAAGATGGCGGAGCGCGGCGGCTTCGGTGAAGCCGCAACTGCTGTATCTCTTTCTGCACCTGCTCCTGGCAGGAGCCCGCCGCTAGGCTGGAAGGAGCGGCTGCGGGCCTGGCTGGCAGGGGCTGGGGCCTCGTTGTGGTTCGTGGCTGGGCTGGGGCTGCTTTACGCTCTGAGGGTCCCTCTGAGGCTGTGTGAGAACTTGGCAGCGGGTGAGAGGACCAGACCTCCCGGGGACGGGCCAGGGGCCAGACAGGTGCCGGGGGCAAGGGCCAAAGGGCAGAGATTCTCGGTAGTCGTCGAGGGCTTCGGAAAAGTCTGTGATACGCGACCAAGTGAGTTATTTTTCTCTTGGGCCGCAATCCCGCAGCTGATTATCAAACTTGAGCTGCAGCTACCGGCTCCTCCCTAGATCTCTTAAGATCCGCCCTCTCTCTCTCAGATCCTCGTTTACCGGAGAAAAAGCCACCTGACAAGCTGTAAGCTTGACAGAAGAGACCATTCTCAGATTTAGATACAGAATTTATATACACCCCCACCATTGGTAAAGTCCTTGAAAATCATTCTTTTGAGACTCCCGCTGCCCACCTTAAGAGAACTCAGAACACGAAGATGAGCACATCTGTAATTCAAGGATTTCAAAGACAGAAAATGCCGTGATCTTAGTAGACTATTGTTTTAAAATAGTTCTATTAAGAAATAGTTTTTGTGGTATTTGTGTGTTCCTTTAGGCTTTATCTTGAATAATAAAATAGAACAGTACAGTAAGTAAAGAAAGACACCCCCCCCCACCCGCCTCTAAACAGCAGTGGGTTTGTTCATTAGTTCTTTTTGACATTTATAGAGCACTTTCTATGTAGTCTGGACTGAAGATACAAAGATGCATAAGAAGTGATGACCGCGTGGATTCTGAAAATACTATACTATTATTTAGTTGTAGACAGGACAAAGTGGACGGAACCAGGGCGTCTTACCTTGTCATTATAATATTTCACTCAAGCCCTGAGAAGCAAGCTCTGAACAAGATGGAAGTATTTATTACTGTTTCTTGAATACTTTGGCTGTCTGTACAATGGTTTATTTTTCTGTAGCAAAAGAAGGCAATGTCCCCTTTCCTATAATATGAGATAACAGGAAAGACTGTAAGATCATGTTCTGAGATATTTTGGATTTTTTAGAAGATAGGTACGATGTAAATTCACATATAACTAGTACACTAAAACAGGCCAGACTGAAGAGCTAATTTGGTGGCTCTCTAACAGGTGAATGAAGTGTTTAATCGTGGTTTGTATGCGCAATGGAATGTTATTCATTGATATTTATTTTTCTACATGTTAACCAGATTCAACATTTAGATGAGAATGGTTGACTATTATAGATTTTTATTTCTTTCTAAAACTCAAAGTATTTATAAAACATTTGTTTGAAGTAGAGAATCTGATCCAGAATTTCAGTAAGTCAGGTGCAAAGAGCTCTCAGTTTGTTGTTTTTCTCTTTGAGCTATTTTGCCTCTCTAGCTGACATCCCAAGTACTACACTGTTTCTTTCCCTCTAATTTGAAACACTGGTTTGTATTTCACCAAAATAATTAGGGAGTATTCAGTCTCCTTTGTTGAGCTGCTTATCCTTATGGAGTGGCAAAAATTCTTGTCTGAGTTATGATTTATAAATGCTTTTATTCTCAAAAGCAAGCTGATTTTCAGCTTTGCTTTGCTGCTTATTTAACCAGCAGTGTAAAATCCTGCCTTTACATGTGTGAATGCATTTTTAAGATATGGTAAAATGTTCATTTAAAGTAGTTTTTTAAAAATTACAACTTTATCAAATGAATTTCACACTAAATATTAATACTACTTAAATGTCCCTCCACTTAGAAAGACACCTGCATATTTGTAACTTACTTTAAATTTGTATTTTTTAAACTTTGATTTTTTTTTTCTTTTGACAGTGGCAGTATTTTTAAATTCATTGACACCCAAATTCTATGTGGCACTTACAGGGACATCTTCTTTGATATCAGGACTAATATTTGTAAGTAGTTTCCATTTCCTTCATTCATGTTTTGTTATTTATCTAAATATCTGCCCTGTTATATGGTTACAATAATTATAAATTATAATTACAATATAGATTATAATATAGATTGGCATTTCCAAAATGTCTTCAGCATTTGAAAAGAGAATTACCTATTCAACAAGTTTGGGGAACACTACTTCTCCCTATCAACTTGTAGAGATTTGCATTATTTATTTGCATATTAAGGACTTATTATATACCGTAGTGGGGAAGGGGATGGGGATGAGGTATACGTTAAATACTTGCAGGGCCTAGGTTGGTAACAAAGATGAATGAAATGGGCAGAATTTAAGAATTAAATTCCTTATGGGCACGCTTGAAGCTCTGACTCGAGGGGGGAGGAAAGGCAATAGCAATGTATGTAACCTTAATATCTGTACCCCCATATTATGCTGAAATAAAACAAAAAAAATTTTTTGTGGGTAATCTGGACAGCGCATACTCCTTCTGAAAGGGGCTACTAATTATTGCCCTGTAGACTTGTGACTAGTATTACCAGATCTCCCAATTTTTCAAATGATTTAAAGAAAACTTATATATACAGGTTTTATATAAATTTTTCAATATTTTAATATTGACAACATTGAGCAGACTAAAATTTGTATCTTGTATTCAGCTTGTAGTTTTTCCTAGCCCTAGTTTCCTCATCTGTGAACTAAGGATAATAATATCCACTTTATAGTATTATGAAGACTAAATGAGACAATATGTGTAAAAGTTTGTATTAATAACATCGTAGCTGGCTCAAAGTGAGCATTTAATGAATTTTGGCCATTACTATTCTGAGATGTCCCACAATAAAGAAACGTGCTAAACTTTAATTCAACTTTTCCTTGAACAAGATATCATTTTTATTAAAAAATGTGTTTTTAAAAATTTTGTAATCCCCATTAACATCCCTGGGATCTAGTGTTTCCTAGTGTACTCTTTGGAAAAATACTGCTATAGATAAAAATCTTAAATTATGTGCTATGCACAGCCAATGGATTTTTCTGTTCTTTTTTCTTATCTCTAGGTGGTGCTCTCCAGCTATAGTAGGAAGAGTAGTATTTGTATTGGACCTTTTTAAAACTAGGGCCTAACACTGACCATTTTGTTAACATGAAATGCCGGACAAGAAAGAGATTTTTCTCTTGGAAAAAAAATAAGCTATTGAGGAATCCAGATTAAAAGCTATATGTTAGTATAAGCTTCACAATTTATTGATTTATAAAACTTACTCATAGTTAAGCATATTTTAGCATATTTAGTCAATAGCATAAAAAGTCTAAATAAAGAAAATAAACTATCTTTAAACAGCTGATGTATTGGAAAAACATTGGTTTTAAAACGAGAATTTTGAATCTTGACTCTGCCACTTACTAGCTGACTTCAGGCAAGTCGCATAAACTGTCTAAATCATAATTTCCTCATTTATAAGAAATATGATTTCTAAAAGCTTTTAAAATATTTTTATAACTCTTTTTAAAACAGGGGTTTTAAATATATAAAAATTAGGAAATTCACGTAGCATTTTAAAAGTTAAATTTTGTCATTACCCTTGCAATACTGATGGATTTTTATTAGCAAAGGTTGTTGTTTTTATAATTTCTTTTACTGCCTAGACTTATCCAACTGGTATACACATGTACTCAGATATAAATATACAATGAGGTATATTTGTGAAGCAGTCTAGTGTAATGGTTAGAAGCTCTGAAGTCAGGCAAAAGTGAGTAACTTACCAGTGATGTGAGCTAGAGCTCATTATTTAAATTTGGAATGTGTGTCTTCATCTCTAAAGTCAGTTGTTGTGAGGATTAAATACCATAATGCACGTAAAGGGCTTGGCACAATGTTCGGTTCTTAGAGAGCTTCTGGTAAGCATTAACAATTATTCTTATCATTGTTCATTTATGTTAAAAAGTTGGCTTAAAAGTTGAAAAAGCCTCTAGCTTCATATTAATTCCTTTCTTTTTTTTTTGAGACAGAGTCTCGCTTTGTTGCCCAGGCTACAGTGAGTGCCGTGGCATCAGCCTAGCTCACAGCAACCTCAAACTCCTGGGCTCAAGCAATCCTTCTTCCTCAGCCTCCCGAATAGCTAGGACTACAGGCATGCGCCACCATGCCCGGCTAATTTTTTCTATATATATTAGTTGGCCAATTAGTTTTCTTTCTATTTGTAGTAGAGACCAGGTCTTGCTCTTGCTCAGGCTGGTTTCGAACTCCTGACCTTGAGCAATCTGCCCACCTTGGTCTCCCAGCGTGCTAGGATTACAGGCGTGAGCCACCACGCCCGGCCTCATATTAATTCTTTAAAAAATCCACCTCTACTTTATATAGTGAAGGGCCGTATTTATTATTGCCCTCATGGTTACTGTTCTTGACAGTATTTATCCAATGTTTTTATCCAAGATTTATCCAATATAAATCTTATCTTTTCTGTCACATAAATAATTTCTGCTTGTGTAATTTCTTCTGGTTGTTTTAAAGAAGTTTCATCCACTTCTTAGGAAAACATATGGTAGAAACCAAACCATGGACAGACACATTTGGTGGTGATTAATTTCTTGCTAACTCAATAAGAATAAGCAGAAAGAAAAGCCATTTTAGACTGAGCGTAAAACAATAGTGTCATGATAGAAAAGAATGCTGCACCTTGATTTTCTAGCACTTTCCTATAAATGTTGTAGCATTTAGTCAGTGGGCCACAATGTAGTAAAAAATGACTGCATACTTTTGACATCTGTGTACCATATTTGTTCTATTATTTACTGAGACAAAAAATAACATTCCTAGAGGTTTGAAAACTCTGATTGTTTTGTAATATGCTCTGTTTGTGGTCATAGTAAAACAATTTAAAAAAATTACAATCTCTTAGGCAGTTGTGGATGTGTTTATTTGTTCTTTAAATAAATAAAGTAATACATTTGTCCAATACATTTGGCAGGAAACTAGTCTCTCAGTTGGCTTTTTGAGGGAAATGTTCGATAAATAAGAGGAAGAAGATATTAATTTTATAGTCAAGAAATATTATTAGAAAACTACCTAAAATTGTTAAAATGAACATAATGAACAATCTCAAATTTCATTCAAGAAATATTTATAGAGAGCCTTTTATGTGTCGAACAATGCTCTAGATGTCGGGAATACCACGGTAAGCAGATTCTGGCCTCATGGAATTTGGTCTAGAAGGTGATTAATGACAATAATTCATTCACTTGATAATTGTTTATTGTGTGGCCTACTGGGTGCCACACACTATTTCTAAGTACTGGGTTTACAGCAGTAAACAAAACAGAAAAAAATCCCTGTGCTCATGGAGTTTACATTTTATTAGGGGAATAGATAATAAAAGATAAATAAGTCTCCCAAATGTTCTTATTAATAGTGATGAGTGCTAAGGAAAAACAATGAAATAGAGAAGGGCATATAAAGTGTCAGGGGAGAAGGTTGAAATTGTATCTGGGGTAGCAAGGGAAGGTCTCACTGAAATGACTTTTTTTGTAAAGACCTAAAGGAAATGAGTAAGCAAGCTATGCTGCATATGTTACTCAATGGGAGTGTACCTCAATGGGAGTACCTCAATGGGAGTGTGCTTGGGGACTTGAGGAAGAGTAGCAGTTATTACAGGTGAAAAGATTACTCTGAAAGGAAAACATAAGATCCAATGGAATTGCACAACACAGTTGTCTATTCTGTTCTATGGAATCAAGAGAAGTTCCCTAAGGAACTGTCATTTAAACTGAAACCCACATGAGCCAGGCAAAGGAAGTTTGGAAAGTTGGAATGTCTACATATGAAAATTTCTGCTAATTTGGCAGAGAACTTTTGGTTCCTTTTTTTTTTTTTTTTTTTTTATATTTTTTTTCTCTTTTTGTTAAGGAACCAAGTTTTCTGCTATGGTTCCTTTTTTAATAATAGGGATAAACTATGGAAACACAAATAAGTGAATATCCTGATTTTTAAATGATTTAGTATGGGAATCATCTTGACTCTTAATCTGTGTATTAATAATATTGCCAAATATTGGAGTAATACTTTTTGGTTCAAAAAGCACTTTTTTATCATTCTTGTTAACCACGTTTAATAGACAAGGACACTGAAGTTCTGAGATATTAGAGATGAAGTGACTTGCCCAAAGCACACAAAAAGGTATTTCACTTTTAAACATAGCATGTGTTATTGATGAATCTTGTGTTTGTGTGTTTTGTTTTGAAGGAGAGTGTATTTAAAATGCTGAATTGAACAGGGACATTTTGAGAGAATGTTTTAATTTGAGCTCATTCACCTGCTGATCAATTATAAGTGAAGGATGTTTTCTGCTTGTCATAGATATTTGAATGGTGGTACTTCCATAAGCATGGCACATCTTTTATTGAGCAAGTATCTGTAAGCCATTTGCGACCACTGATGGGAAGAACAGAGAGCAGCATTTCAGAACCAGGTTCTTCTTCCAGCAATGGAGAAAGTGAAACCAGCAGGCAGAATTTGTCAGGTGATTACTTTTCTAACATCATTTTCAGAGATGTATAGTTAAGATTGAGATTGGCTGTGGAAAATACAAAACTGAAAACAGTGCTATGGTTCGAATGTTTGCATTCCCCCCAAATTCAAATGTTGCAACTTAATCAACAATGTGATGGTGATAGGAGGTGGAGCCTTTGGAAAGTCATTAGGTTATGAGGGCAGGACGCTCATGAATGTGATTAGTGGCCTTATAAAAGACACCCCAGAGAGCTGCTTGCCCCTTCCACTATTAGAGAACACAATGAGAAGTTACCACTATGAACCAGAAAGCAGGACCTTACCTGACACCAAATCTGCCAGTACCTTTGTTTTGGACTTCCCAGCCTCTAGAATTCTGAGAAATAAGTTTACATTGTTTATAAGATGCCCAGTTTATGGTATTTTGTTATAGCAGTCCAAATGGACCAAGACCCAGAGAAAAGTTTGTCTTTTGTGTAGATATAGGTAGTCCATGGCTGGTATAGAGAGCAATGATCATCAGAGACTAAGACCCTTTATATTTTTTTAGCCTGCCATCTCCAAGTGTATTTTTTTTTTTTTTTTTTGTCCAGGCTAGAGTGAGTGCCGTGGCTTCAGCCTAGCTCACAGCAACCTCAAACTCCTGGGCTTGAGTGATCCTTTCTGCCTCAGCCTCCCGAGTAGCTGGGACTACAGGCATGCGCCACCATGCCCGGCTAATTTTTTATATATATATCAGTTGGCCAATTAATTTCTTTCTATTTATAGTAGAGACGGGGTCTCGCTCTTGCTCAGGCTGGTTTTGAACTCCTGACCTTGAGCAATCCGCCCGCCTCGGCCTCCCAAGAGCTAGGATTACAGGCGTGAGCCACAGCGCCCGGCCTATCCAAGTGTATTTTTCACCTTGTAATTTAAAAATTATTGAGGACCTCAAAGAGCTTTGTTTAAATCTAGATGATATCTATCAATACTTATCATATTAGAAATTAAAGCCAAAATTTTTTAAATATTTTAAAAATAACAATAAACCCATTGCACATTAACATATTGCTGTAGACTGAAATGTGACCCCCAAAATTCATATGCTGAAATTCTAACCTCCACTGTAACTGTATTTGGAGACAGGATTTTTAGGAGGTAATTAAGGTAAAATGAGGTCATAAGGATGGGGATTGACCTGATAGGATTGATGGCTTTGTAAGAAGAGGAAGAGATCTCTCTCCCCCTCTACCTCTCCCTCCCCATTCCCTTCTCCCTCCACCTCCTCCCTGTCTCCCTGTCTCATCTCTCCACCCCCTCCAGCCATGCAAGGACACAGAAAAAAGGCTGCTGTCTACAAGCCAGGTAGAGAACCTTCACTAGAGCCCAGTCATTCTGATATTCTGATCTTGGACTTCCAACCTCCAGATTGTTAAAAAATACATTTCTGTTGTTTAAGCCACTCAGTATATGATATTTTGTTATGGCAGCCTAAGCTTACTAATACAGATTTTGGTACTTATAAGTGGGGTGCTGCTGTAACAAATACCTGAATATGTGGAAGTGACTTTGGAACTGGGTCATGGGTTGAGGCTGGAGATTTGAGTTGCATGTTAGAAATATGATTGTTAAGGGCAAATCTGGTGAGGTCTGAGATGGAAATGAGGAACATGTTATTGGAAGCTAGAGGAAAGGTTATCCTTGTATAAAGTGGAAAAGAACTTAGCTAAACTGTGTTCTAGCATTTTATGAAAGGTAGAACTTGAGAGCAATGAAATTGGATATTTAGCTGAGGAGATTTTTAAGCAAAGTGTTGAAGGAGCAACTTGGTTTATCCTGACTGGTCATAGGGAAATGTAAAAGGAAAAAGATGAATTGAAAAAGGAATCATTAAGCAAAAAAGAAACAGAACTTGAAGATTTGTAAAATTCTCAACCTATTGATATTGTAAAAAATAGGAAAACTTATTCTGACAAGAACACTAAGGGTATGGCTTAACAACCAATTAATGTGTGTACCTCATGGACATAATTAGTTCTCTCATCAGAAGCCAGGATTAGAGTTGGTTTTATACCAGCAAACACTGCCCATTTTAACTAAAAGGGACAGAGAAAGCAGGACAGAATGAAGGAAGGCTTTTTGACCTCTTGAATTCTCTAGGACCCAACTATAGAGCTATCTATTCAGCTGTGAATGTGTATTGACTTAAAAAAAAAGGGGGGGGGGGAGAATGCCAAACCCAGGGTTGCCACTCCTACCACAGGCACAGGAGGCAAGGATGTTTCCTCCTTGGTTTCAAAGGGGAACCAGTTTCTGGGGCCATATGACTCTGCCCAGTGCCTTAGGGGCCAGGACACTCATAATATCACTGGGGCGGGGCTGTGCCATAGAGCCATGAGGGTTACAGTTCCACTCCAGTGGGTCTGGAGGGCAGAGTATCAAACCAAAGAGAATTATTCTCAAGCTTTAAGATCTAATGGAATTTGCCTTGCTAGGTTTTGGACTTGCTTTGGGATCCATCACCCCTTCTGTCCTTTGGGTTTCTCCTTTTTGGAATGGTAATATCCATCTTATGCCTGTCCACCATTGTACAGTATATTGGAAACACATAACTTTCTGATTCCACAGGTTCACATCTGGAGAGGAATTTAGTCTAAGGATAAATAGTACCTTGAGTTGCACCCATATTTGATTCAGGTAATATTTAGATAAGACTTCGGATTTTAGAATTGATGTCGGAATGAGTTAAGACCTTGGGAGCTATTGGTATGAAATTAATGTATTTTGTATGAAGGACATGAATTTGGGGGGGGGGCAGTGGAAGAATGCTATAGACTAAATGCTATACCCCTAAATCCATATTTTGAATCTCTAATCTGCCATATGACTCTATTGGAGATAGGGCCTTTAAGGAGGTGATTAACGTTAAATAAGTGTGGAAACCTAATCTGATAGAATGGATTCCCTTGTAAGAAGAGGAAGATAAAATCAAGTTGTTGACAAGGTTAAGAAAAGAAGAAGAAGAAGAAGAGAAAGAGACACCAGAGCTTTCTCTCTGTGCCATGTGAGAACACAGCATGAAGGCAGCCAACTGCCAGGCAGGAAGAGAGCCCTCACCAGAACTCAACTTTGCTGGTACCCTGATCACAGACTTCCAGCCTTCAGAACTGTGAGAAAATAAATTTCTATTGTTTCAGCCACTGAGTCTGTGGTATTTTGTTATGGCAGCCTGAACTAATACATGTATTACAAAAAATAATTGTATTTCCTACAACAAGACAAAGTTTAGTCAGAAGACTGGCATTGTTTTACATTTGTTTAACTCTGTTTAATGTCTAGCTTAATATAAGACTGCTTATTCTCGGATCTGTTTCCTCATTGTTTGTTGTGATATGCTGTTTTGATTGAAGTATATAAAGAAAATCTTGTCTTGCACAGATTTGTAGTTGGAAAAGGGAGGAGCATTTTAATAACCTTCTTAGAAAATTGTGCTTATCCTTTTTTGATACTATACCCAAACTTGCTAAGAGGTACTTCTGAAAGTTTAGTTGCAGTGTTCAGTGTCTGAACTTTTCATGCTCTGTTAAGTTAAACTCCACTGGTATATCTTGCATTTAGAATGGATGTGTTACTTATGCATAATTTTATAGCATCATGCATTGGTTATTTGGAAGATACTTGTTCACTGAGTTATACATATCTTAAATATTGATACATTTTAATACATAATACAAAAAATCATGTTTATTAATATCATTACCAATCTCACAGAAAACTCTTTAAGTATTATAAATTACTAGGTTCATGATAGCAGGCACAAGTTTTTCAAAATTCTAATACATATGTTTTGAGCTTTTAAGCTCAGATTTTATCATTGGCAACAAATATTGTTCGTTTTTTTCCTTGAAGTTGACAGACTCACTTTGTTCATTTTTAAGAAAATGTCTGCCAGGTACCCATCTAAATAACCATAAGTTTGTCTGTGACTCTTTGAAGTGTAAGTGGTGTTCTATGACAAAAGTGGCCAGTTCAGCTTACAAAACACTAGCTTTTACTGGAGATAACCATCATACTTGGTATAATGTTTAAAATAAATTTGACTTTTTACTGCAAGGATGTGGGAGTGAAGAAACTGATGATGCCTAATACAATTTGATGTCACTGCCTTGACTCTTGCAAAAGCAGTAATCCCCAACCTATTTGATACCAGGAACTGGTTTCATGGAAGAGTTTTTCCACGGGAGGGGAGGGAAGGAGATGGAGCTCAGGTGGTAAAGCCCGGCCCTGTTCCTAACAGGCCATGGACCAGTACTGGGCTGCAGCATGGGGCTTGGGAACCAAAGTGCTAAAGAACTAGCAGTTTTACCCACCATTGATTTTGCACAACCAGTTAAACTTTGTAGGATAAGTAAGACAAGTGTGCCAGGGGCACAAAATTTAAGGAAGCCCTCATTCTCAGTGTCATACAACTGAGTTCACGTCAACATAGTTTAAAAGGCAAATAATGTCTTAGAATTTATTATGAAGAGCTGTTACTTTGCAAGTCCATGAATTACTTTTCAGAACTGATCTAAACAAAGATCTGTTATTTATTTTTCTCCTTATAAACTTTTGATGACTAAGGATAATAGCTAAACTCCTTAATATGGCATATAAGCTCCTTCATCAGTTTCCCCCAGTCTATTTTCTGACCTCACTTACAGGTCAGCAAATAGCTCTCCCTTTTACCCCTTACCCTGTACTCTAGCCTAGCCATGCTGTGTGGTTTTATGGTACTTCCTCTGCTTGGAATGTTCTTCATTTGGTAACCTTCTACTTATCTTTTACAGTGATTCAATGTAAGTTCAAATGTCACCTCCTTTCTAAAGCCTCCCCTGATTTCCCTAGAGCAAAATTAATCACTTTCTTTTTTCTCTTGGAATAAAACATATCTCTACTATAGCACTTACCATAGTTTAGCCCATTGTTTACATGACTAACTCTCATGCTATGTTTAATTCAATTAAACAAGTCCAATTCCAGATGCTGTGCTAGGTTCCAGGAATATAAAAAGTTTTATGAAGTTTTAAGAGATCATATTTTAAAGGGGAAACTAAAAACCAAACAGATAATCACAATATAATATGGTAAGTGCTATAATTGAATTATGAGCCAAATGCTATGGAGATAGAAATAAGGGAATGACTAGGTTTAATTGTTTCTTTTTTTTTTTTTTACCTTGATATGAAATAGTTTGAATATCATAATTCTGTTTCTTAAGAGCATGCTTTATTTGTCTTTATAACATCTGTGGCTAGCACTGTGCTTGGCATACGTAGATAATACATTTTGGTTAAATGAAGATTTAACTGCATTTGATTAAACTATCTCATTTTTTTCTTTTTTTCCCCTTGTTTTTCAGAATGCAAAGTATGGCGAAATCCTCTAAATCTTTTCAGAGGAGCAGAATATAGCAGGTAGCACATTTTGCTTTCAGTATAAGTATGGCAGTGGTCTTAGAGTAAATGTGTTATGGGAACATTTATTTTTATAAATATATCTCAGCTTTTCTAGTTGGAGATATATAATAAGGTAAAATGATTAGCTCAAGGTTTTGTTGGTAGCATCTTGACTGTGTTTACTTTTATAACCATAAAAAGCATTGTTTCAAACTATGTTTGTGATACATAAGTTTATATTAGGCCCCTGGTTTATGGCAGAAAGCCTTTCATTAATACAAAGAATTTGTGACATTAAGAAAACATTACAGGTGTCAGCATATTCTGTGCATATGTGCTCAGTTTCAAAATTTATTTGAGGATTCATTTAAAAAAACAGTCTGAATGTGAATGTAAACTTTATTTGTATAGCATAAAGTATTTTTATATTGATTTTATATTGCTATTTCCTATCCATACTACTATGTCAGACATAGTAGTACGGATAGGAAATAGCAATAATAGCAAAAATATTGAAAAATCAATATTTTTATATTGATTTTATATTGCTATTTCCTGTCTGTACTACTGTGTCTATTTCTCATCCAGTTTTTACTCCAAATGAGAAAACATCTTTTGAAATTATGACCAAAGATACTTCAAATTTATTTATGTATGTATGTATTATTTATTTGTCTATCTTCCTTCCCTTTTTAATACCCTGCAGTGAGAATCACTTTTATTTTGAGGAGGGCTGTGTTTTACCTGGAAGTAAACTGGGGCATGTTATTTAATTCATTGAACAAGAAACACTATGTATCTGCTATTTAGGGGCAGTATGCAAAATGATGGAGATAAAAATGATTAAGCAATAACCTCTGTGCTTAAGGACTTAATAGTATAAGATAGTGATATCCTGGGAATTGAAAGCTAGGCTTTTATGAAAGATACCATGTAGCCTGTACTAAGAGATTCTGCAAGAAACAGGTCCTTGAAACTCTTGGTGTGTTTAATCAAAGTTATTGAGGCTATTTCTTGTTATATTATACAGGGTTCACTTCATGAAGATCTTTAAGAGTAATTTCTTAGTATTAGGAATACTTATGCTTCTTCTGACTGATTAGTTTGTCTCAGTGTAAAAGTCTAAGTTGTATTGATAAACCATTGTGTGGTTCTAGAAAGCTTACACCAGCAGTATGTGTGGGCATGTCCCACTTAACCCTTGATAACATTATCTTTGCCAATTTGATAGGCAAAAAGTAAAACTTATTTTAATTTGCTATTTATTAATTAATAATGAGATTTGACATTGTAAAATGTATTTATTAGCCAGTTTGTTAACTTGCTGTTAATTTATTTTGGGGTTGGAGAGGTATGACAGTTTAAATATTTACTTTAGTAAAATCTGGAAAAAGGTTTTCTTTGTTTTTATACTTTGAAAGTCTTTTCTCATCTTGACCTAATAAAAATTCACCTATGTTTTCTTCTAGTTTCTTTGTAGGTTGACTTCTAATACTTAATTATAACTCTCTGAGAGTTTATTTAAGCATAGTTAATAAGATATATCTAAGTCAAATTGTTTTATTCCTTCAAATCCAATTTTCAAAGCAGTGTTTATTGAATATTGTTTTCCTGTTTGGTTTTTGATGTTTTATTATCATATTCTAAGTAGTTTGTGTAGGTTATCTCCTTTGTTTTACTGATTATAATAAGATTTTAAAATATCCCAAAATAGAATTTGTAGCAATATATTTTTGAAAGTTAAATAGTGTCTATTGTAGTAGACATGCCCTCTCATGTCCAACTTAAATATTTTTTTGTGTTTTGGTAAAGATACACTTGGGTGACTGGTAAAGAACCACTTACATACTATGACATGAACTTGTCAGCTCAGGACCATCAGACCTTTTTCACCTGTGACACAGACTTTTTACGTCCTTCAGATATAGGTATGTGTTATATCTGTTCATGGTTTAAACAGTGATCAGGATAATTTTTATTTTTATATAGAGGTATTTATTATAGTGCACAGAGTTATTTGGCTTGGAGTTCTTTGCATTATTGATAAGAAACTCAGGTTAAATTAAAACGAATTGTGATTGTAAACTAGGTTGATATACACCTTTTCTTCTTATAAAGAATTTAAAATATTTCATACTTCTTTATTACTAGAAAAACCTTTCAAATCAAATACTGCAACTGCTTTTGCAGGAAAATAGTGTACCTTGTTTTGGTCTGGGAAATGAACACTTGCAGTTTATATATAAATGAAAATAGGACAGTGTTTAAACATTGGGGAATGACATGTAGAGAAAAATGCAGTTATTTTGTTTTAGTCATAAGTTAGAGATGCATATAGTGGTAGAAGATCATAGAAATCCCTTTCATCTAGCATATTGCCCAGTATATGTAAATATTAATATTTATTTTTATGTTTGGTTCTCTGTAAGTTCTTATCCATAGAATTGAGTCTCTTAAGTGTATACCTTAAAAATAGGGATCTTTGTCACAGCTTTTCTTCTACTTTGAATGCCCTCACCTACTGTATGTATCTATCTGATGAGTTACTTTTTATCCTTTAATATCCAAATTAAGTCCGGGTATGATGGCTCATGCCTATAATCCCAGCACTTTGGGAGGCCTGAGTTTGAGACCAGCCTAGGAAACAGAGTAAGACTCTGTGTCTCTACAAAAAATAAAAAAATTAGCCAGGTGTAGTGGTGCCTGCCTGTAGTCCAAGCTACTCAGGCTTGAGTCCAAGCCTCAGCAGAAGGATTGCTTAAGCTCAGGAGTTCAAGGCTACAGTAAGCTATGATTGCACCACTGCGCTCCATCCTGGGCACTAGACCAAGACCCTATCTCTTAAAAAAAAAAATTCAAATTAAAAGTCACACTCTTTAGGAAACCTTCCTTGGGATCTCTTGTCAGAATTAAACGCTTTCTTTTCTACGGTTCTACAGTACTTAGCCCAAATCTGTATTAAATTATTTTAGTTAATTTATTCAACCATAAACATTTATTAATGTTATCACTCTGCTTTCATGTTTGCCATCCCTAATTGGATATGAAACTTTAGAGAGCAGGGACTATATTCTCTTCATCTTTGAATTCCTATCATATAACATGTTGCCTCGTATACTGTAAATATTATTCTTTGGCCAGGTGTAGTGTTTCATGCCTGTAATCCTAGCACTCTGGGAGGCTGAGGCAGGAGGATCGCTTGAGGCCAGGAGTTTGAGACTGGTCTGCGCAAAATAGCAAGACCCTATCTTTACAAAAAGTAAAAAATTTAGCTGGGTGTGGTAGCATGCGCCTGTAGTCCCAGCTACTTGCAAGGCTGAACCAGGAGGCTTATTTGAGCCCAGGAATTTGAGGTTGCAGTGAGCTATGATGATGCCACTGTACTTTAGACCGGGCAACAAAGTGAGACCCTGTCTCAAGAAAATATATATATATATATATTCTTTGATGAAAGTATGAATGAATGAAAGGCTTAGGTGTCACAGATATCTTAATTAATTTCACTGATAATAGGTAAAACTTGTATAGCACTTAACTATGTGCCAGGCATTGTTCTAAGCAATTTATAGAAATGTACTAGTTTAATCTTCCAATCACTTTATGAGATGATACTATTATCAGCCCTATTTTAAAAATAAAGGAACTGAGGCAAAGAGGAATCAAGGGACATGCCTTGAGACACACAGCTAATAACCAATAAAGTTGGGTTTCAAACTCAAGTCTGACTGTTAAATACTATGCTGTCACTACTTCTACCCACCACACTAATAGGTAGAAGAAATCACCAATAAAGGTCTGAAAAATACGCAGGTTTCCACCATTGTAATTAGTTCATTGTGATACATCTTTGCTGGATTAATTGTGTTAAGGGAGGGGTGGTACCAGGAAACCCAAAATCTTGGTACGGTTACATAAAATGGTTTAATTCAAATAGAGGAGAAAAAAGAATTGTTTTATGTTTATATGCTTAATATTTATATTAATAGCAAAAATGTAGATGTTGGGGAAATAACAGCAGTATAAAATCAGTATTATATGTCAACTTTAAGGATTGAAGTGACTCTGGAAATTAGGTCTCACCTCCCTCTCTCTCACAGACAGAATTGCAAACATCGGCAGGCTTTTCCAATAGCAACCATGGCTATTCACTAAAGCTGTGATCTTAAAACATTTTTGTTTGAATATCTACTAAAAGAATTTTGGAAAGGGATGTGTCCCTTCACACATTTTTAAGTTGATGTCATAAGGTTAAATAATAACAAAGAATGTCATTTTTGACATATTGCAAAATGTAGACATTTAAAAATAAAACTAGTATACCCTATATTTCAGTGTATGTCATGGGATCAAATGATTTATGTCCGCCACTATCCACTGAAAAATTCATGAACAAATGTTCTTCAGCATTAGTAATTTTATATAAGTCCTTTTTCTTCTTGAACGCATAATCTATTTTACTATAATTTTATTATAATAAATTTTATTATAATTATTTAATTATAATAAATTTTATTATAATTATTTTATTATAATTAATAAAATAATTTTATTATACTTTTATTTTATTATAATTATTATAATTTTAATTATTTTAATATAAATAATTAAAATTTTTGTGTAATTTTATTATAATTATTTTATGTTGTAGAAAAGTATGCTATCACACTTGCACACTTTTCCACAATAAAAATTTTTAGTAATTTTTTTAAATTTAAATTTCATTTGACCATGAGGTTCCAAATGTTTTTCTATACTTTAATTGTATTTTTGTCAAATCCTTAGAGCTACATATTTAGTTCTTTAAATTTTGGAAAATACCTTCCATATAACCTAATTGACTGGGTGAGTCTTCATTGTCAATCTGTCAACCAAATCAGATTTACTTTTCTGACAGAGAAGTCTGACTTCATTTTTCAAAGCAAATAAACATGTTAACATGTATCCCCTTGATAACCATCTGTCTTCTGAATTCAGATTCCAAGATACAAAGATAGAAAAATCTTGGAACTTTGCCTAGGACTTATCATTGGCCAAAATAATTGCCTTTATTATTCTTTACTAATGCCGCCTTTGCCTTACCATGAAAGGATCTTCCCTTAGGAGCAATTCATTCTTTTATAGTAAGTGGGGAGGGGTGCTAATGGAACTGATAAAAATTGTTACCACCACCTCCCCACTCTATAATATACTTGAATTCAGAGCATTCAGGAGCAAGAATACTCTATTTCTAATGCCAACCCTCATTGTTAAATGAAGTAAGTAAAAGGCAGGAATCCCTAATACAGTGTGTCTTGATTACAAATGGCTGCCCCCAAACGTTGAATCCCTTTGGCACCTGGGATTTTTACACCATAGGGCAATGCGCCTTGGAAAGATTCAGGATAGGTGAGAAGTAAGTCTTCCTTTTGTGTTAGAAGGGAACATATCTTTGGAGGTAGAGGTGTGAGGATTGTGGTTAAGTAGGAAAGGGAAACCAGTATAATGCATAGACCAAATGGAGAAACAGTCTTCAGGTAGATCAGTTGTATTAATAGAAAACAGTCATATAAAGTTGAGGCTTTAGAAATGGATTTTCTTAAAACCATGCACTCCATTTTGCTTCTTGCAAAGTTACATGTACGTCTAGAATGTATGTATAACCTCAGCTAAAGACTGAACTCAAAGACAGACTTTGCCTGTGAATGATGATCCAGAAAGGGACTATTGTGCTCGCTTTGGCAGCACATATACTAAAATTGGAACAATACAGAGAAGATTAGCGTGGCTCCTGTGGGAGGATGACATGCAAATTCACGAAGCATTCCATATTTTAACTCTTTTAGAATTTGTCTATCAGGTTTTCCAGTCCTCACTGGAAGAAAATAAGTAAATAAATAATAATAAAATTAAAAAGAAAGGGACTATTGGTTCTATATTGATTTTTCAGACACTCACATAAAGGTAATGATTTATATTAGTAGTTTTATATTCAGAAAAGACAAATGTGTATATACGTATGATGTGGCAAATTTCTCTTGACTTATTGTCATCAGTAATCACTAAATTAGGAGATTTTGTTCTCATCCTATAGATTTATCTAGGGCAGAAAACAAACATACCCACAAGGGCCAGCCAGTGGTGTTTTTTGGATTATTTGTTTTCATTTTTAACATTTAAAAATCAGGAGATTTCACATTAAAATCCGAATTTACACTTTTTGAAAGTTGGAAAATATGGCAAAACTGGACCTGCAATTCTACTTGGCAATAATCAGCTACATGTGAGTTGTGGCTCTCCCTTTTAGACAGTGAATTTGTTTTTAGCTCATTCATTTATGTTTAATGCCTGGCATCTGTAGGCATTTACATTTGTAACCCTTGACTTTGGGAATAACTGCTGGTCTCTTTCATGCTTGTTAGCATATTAGAATATTATTTAACTTGAAAAAATAAATAAATTTGAATTGATAATTGCTTTTGTTAATTATGTTTTGAACATATCAAGGGCTCTTAAAGAGGACAATTGAATACTAAATAAATAAGCATTTTGCTTTTAATTATTCATAAGCCTTATTTTAGAAAAAAAAATATATTTTCCTCCATTTTAATTCCCCTTTCCCCTTAGACATAAGGCTGCTTTGATTGTGAAGAATACTCTTGAAAGGCTGGTAGAGCATATGAAAACATAAGAAAAAGTGCTTAAAGGTGAATTGAATGACCTCACTAGAAATAAAAAAAAATACAAATGAAAATGAGATAGTTTTCATGTATTAAAAGAGAATGAATATCAATTCGCTCTCTTAAATTAGCAAAGATTGATGATACTGTGTTGGTAAGGAAACAAGGAAACGGTCACTCTCCTATACTACCTGAAAGAGTATAAGTTAATACAATCTTCTTGAAAAGAGTTTGCTATATATATATATATCTAAAATGTTATAAAAGATACATACATTTTAACTAACAGTTCTACTTCTAGAAAGGAAATATTTGGTCAGATATGCAAAGATAGATACTGAAAGATTATTATCAGTGTTTTTATATTAGCAAAAAATTGGGTATAACTTAATTGTCCATCAAAAGAGAATTGGTTAAATAAATTATATATACTTGATATACTACTCTACTAAATAACCATTTAAAATGTTGATAAAGATTCAGTGTCAAAATTGGACTTGTAATTATTACATATGTCATAGAAGAGAGCCCTGTCTTCAAAAATCATAAGTCTAATATTATACTTTATTTTTATGTAATATTTTAGTGTTTCAGCAAGAAGATATTCTTTACCTGGCCAGCATCAGATGGGTGCTGACTTGCATCAATTTGTCATGTTCAGGAAGCATTAGCTGTCAGCTACCTGGTGACATGTTTGATATGAGAAATGTATTTTTGTTAGACAAGTGGAATATATTGACTCCTTTTCTAAGCCAAGACTAATATTTTGTTTCCAAAGGAAAACTCAAACATTTTCCACATTATTCTTTCTGGACAGTTGTGGGTTTTGTTCCAAAAGCAACACTCATAGATTCTCTATCTTATCAAAGTTGAAATTGGCTAGATAGTTTCACAAATATACTTTATTTGTTTGTTTAATTTTTAAGTAACTTTACTTGGTTTGAAATCTTCATTTGGTACAGTAAATGGTAACAAAACTAATATTGTTTTTCTAGAGAAATCCTAACTTAAGGTTTTTTTGAATCCTAGTAGAGGCTGACATTTTCCAGAGGTGTACTATATTCTAAATTAATCCTCTTTTTTTGCCCTTTGTATACAAAATGCAAATCCAAACATAATTTCTAGAGCAAATCATTGGTTAGACAAAGACTTTGTTTTTAATTTTTTTATTTTTAGCAGTTCCATTAGAACCTTTTTAGAATAATAAAAGTAGAGCAGGAATATTTCATATTGATTGTAATCTGATGTCACTTAAACTCAATTTTAACATGCATTTAGACATATAAATGTTCATGTATCATGATATAATTAATTTGGTTAAGTACCTTATATGTTATTCAAATAAATCAGAAAAAGAATATATTTATTTTTATTGTATGTGAAGCTTCCAAATTTGACATAAATTTCTCATAAGGTTAATGTGAAATAGTAACCCAATTTCTTTTTTCATTTGTTTAAGAACATGTTACTTAAAGCTTTGTTTACTCCTCAGCTCATTCTTCATATGTTTTGTGTAAGATTATTTGTTTACCATCTCATCTACTCTTTGAAATATTTTTCCTACAGTTATGCAGAAGGCATGGAGGGAAAGAAATCCTCCAGCTCGAATCAAAGCAGCCTATCAAGCTTTAGAGTTAAACAATGAGTAAGTTTGAAATACATGGAAAATATGTTTGTTTTTTAAGAAAACTCAGGGAAATGATTTTCCTTTTGTCTGTTCCTAAGACATTTGGAGTCATTAGCAGTCCCCTTTTCCTTTTTGCATATTAGAGATAAAATTTGCAGTATTACCAACATCTGCACTTTGCTTCTGAAATTGTAAACTTATATATGCTTTTGAATAGAAATTATACTAGAAATACATTTAAAAATGAGAATACCAATAGAGAATGGTGATAATAGTTGAAAGGGTACTTAATACATATGCCACCTGTTTTAATTGTGTTTTTCATTTTTTTTTGCAATCCAGAGATCTTTTATTTTTTATACCTAATTATGCCATGAATTCATAGGGAATAGGTTCCAGCAGCTCAGGCTCCTTTCCATTGGTTCTCACAAAGTATGCTTCTCTGGGTGGGACAGGCTGGCACTTCACTTGAACCCAGGTACCTTTCTCTTTGGCTTCCTTCTTTTTCTTATCATTTTCCTTCCTGAGTTTCAGAAAGCTGTCTCGGCTCTTAGAGTGCTTCATATGCTCAATACGCACATTAGCACATTAATCCTCTTGGCAATAATCTTGCCCTTAACTTGTTTGTTTATAACCATGCCAACAGCATGCTGGGTAACATTGTAGACTCTTCCAGTTTTGCCAAGGTAACATTGGTGGGGCATACCTTTTTGAACAGTACCCATTCCCTTGATGTCTACAATGTCACCTTTCTTTTTTTTAAGGCTAGTCAAGTGAAGCAGTGGGAGTGGAGAAGGAACAAAGGAATCTGTAACTGGTGATCAATTAGTTGTAAACACCACTGCACTCGGACCACCATATCATCTTTCATGTAGATTCGCATGTATGTGGCCAAAGGAACAAATCTATGTTTTCTAAAAGGCCTAGAGAACATATATTGGGTGCCTCTTCTCTCTCCCGTTGTGTTCGTCATTTTGGTGCATTACTGGAAGATGGCAGCTCCGGCCAAAAGGTTGTTTTTTATTTAAACCATTAATTTCAAGCATTCATTCAGTCTTGAGAACTTTAGTTCTTATCTAAAGTTTCTCTTGGAGGCATAAGAAGGGGATTCAAAATAAGTAAAACATAGATCTGTCAACTTTATTTTTTTGCATGTTAATAGCATTTTTTTTATAGTTCTTTGTGTGAACTTTACATATATATGTGTATGAGAGTGTGTGTGTTTGTGTATTTTTTTTTTTTTTTTTTGAGCTAGGATCTTGCTCTGTCACCCAGGCTGGAGTGCAGTGGTGCAATCATAGCTCACTGCAGCCTCGAACTCCTGGGCTCAAGAGATTCTCCTATCTCAGCCTCTTGAGTAGCTGGGATTGCAAGTGTGAGCCACATCACCTGTCATTTTATCTATTCAATATATTTTGAAAAGATAAAATGTAAAATCATAAGGCAACTTAATATTTAAATGGGACAGATCAATAAATATTAATCTAATACAGACTAAATAAATGCCAAGAGTAAAAATATGATCCCAGGTGGGGTTAATCAAGGAATGTGTACTGGATAATGTGAATTTAGAGTTGTACCCTAAACTCCCCTTCCAATAGATACATTATTCTTATTAAGAAGGCCTTCCCAAGGTGGAACAAAAATGGCAGAGTAGGTAACTCCCAAAGCAGTGAATAAACTGGCAAAAACTGTCAGAATCAACTTTATTAAAACTCTGGAAGCTAATCAAAAGTTTACAGTAGTATGAATGTTTAATCGAGGGAAAAAACCACCTGAATTTCTATAAGAGAGCTTTGTGATGTTTTATTTACTCTGGCCCCATCCCCTGTTCCCTAGCTCAGTGGCAGCCTTGGAAATATAATAGCGCACATTCCATTCCAGGTATGGCTTTTTAGTACCAAAAGAAGCAGAATGGGCCTTATTCTCAAAGAACTGTGGTTTTTATTTTGATCTGTCAGATGATTCCATGAAGGACCAGCTCAAGCCTTTATTTCAGCTTACTCAAAACTCTCCCAGGAGTGACATAACTACACTGGGGGACAGTCGTTGAAAATATTTAAAGGCAAATGCATTAGCTGCTGCTGCCTGGGGCAAGGAGTAAAAGCTAGGGCAAATAATAGACAAACCAGAAAGGTTATGAGCAAAGGCTGGAGTATGAGACACTTTGGGGAATAAAGGCTTTGAAAAGTTCCCTCAGTTTTCTGGGAATCTCAAAGGCCCCACACATGGCCAGAGCTGGGCACATGCTCAGAAAAGACTCGAGAAGGTCTCAAGCTCTCACATCTGGCTAACCTTCAGGTTCTGAACAAGCAGGAGGTGAAGGCTAAGGCAGAGTTGTAAGCTGCCTGGTTGAATGATGAAGATGTGCCCCAGCTGACACACGGTGCATCTGTGAAGACTTTTGCTTTTTGTATTTTGTTTGTTTTTGGTTGCAGGTGTTTAAGAAAATCTCCCTCTAATCACTAACTGACCACTAGGCTAAAAGAGAACAGACTTTACTGGTCATATATGACAGAGAATATAGATTTTATAAAATTTGTTCAGAAAAGTCAACAAACTAACAAATAACAGTAAGTAGCAACAACAAATCCTAGGGAGTAGAGATGATCTGATTTCCAGAATTGCCAGAATATGATATTAAGGATTTCCAGTTTATAATAGAAAATTACAAGTCATGCAAATAAATAAAATTTGGCTCATACACAGGAGAAAAAAAGAAATTAATAGAAACTGCTGCTGAGAAAGCTTAGTCTTTGGACTTTATAGACAAAGATTTTAAATCAACTATTTTAAATATGCTCAAAGAGGTAAAGGAAACCATGAGGATGATGTATCACTATTAGAAAATATCAATAAAGAGGAAGGAATAATAAAAAGGAACTAAATAGAAATTCTAGAATTGAAAAGTATAACTGAAATGAAACATTTACTATAGGAGTTCAACAACACACTTGAGCAGACAGAAGAAAGAACCAGTGAACTTGATTTAGGTCAATTGAGATTACCTAGTCCGAGGAGCAAGAAAAAAATTAAGGAATGAAGAAATATGAACTGAGTCTAAAAAACCTGTGAGACGGCCGGGCGCTGTGGCTCACGCCTGTAATCCTAGCTCTTGGGAGGCCGAGGCGGGCGGATTGCTCAAGGTCAGGAGTTCAAACCAGCCTGAGCAAGAGCGAGACCCCGTCTCTACTATAAATAGAAAGAAATTAATTGGCCAACTGATATATATATAAAAAATTAGCCGGGCATGGTGGCGCATGCCTGTAGTCCCAGCTACCCGGGAGGCTGAGGGAGAAGGATCACTCGAGCCCAGGAGTTTGAGGTTGCTGTGAGCTAGGACGCCACGGCACTCACTCTAGCCTGGGCAACAAAGCGAGACTCTGTCTCAAAAAAAAAAAAAAAAAAAAAAACCTGTGAGACACTATCAAGTATACCAACCTAGGCATAATGGGAGTACCAGAGAAGAGAGAGAGAGAGAAAGGGCAGAAAGAATATTTGAAGAAATAATAGCTGAACACAAATACTAACACACCAAATCCAACAGCATGTTGAAAGTGTTAACACCCTGACCAAGTGGGATTTATTCCAGGTTACAAGAATAGTTCAACATATGAAGGTTGATCAGTGTAATACTCCACATTAACAGAATGAAAGAAATAAGCCACATGATCATCTCAATTGATGCAGAAAAGGCATTTGACAAAATTCAACACACTGGCTGGGCGTGGTGGCTCACACCTATAATTCTAGCACTCTGGGAGGCCGAGGTGGGCAGATTGCTCAAGGTCAGGAGTTCAAAACCAGCCTGAGCAAGAGCAAGACCCCGTCTCTACTATAAATAGAAAGAAATTAATTGGCCAACTAAGATATATATAGAAAAAATTAGCTGGGCATGGTGGCACATGCCTATAGTTCCAGCTACTGAGGAGGCTGAGGCAGTAGAATGCTTGAGCCCAGGAGTTTGAGGTTGCTGTGAGCTAGGCTGATGCCACGGCACTCACTCTAGCCTGGGCAACAAAGTGAGACTCTGTCTCAAAAAAAAAAAAAAAATTCAACACCCTTTCATGATAAAAATGTATGAAAATCTATTAATGTAATATATTAACAGAACAAGGGACAAAACCACATGAACATCTCAGTTGATATAGAAAAATTTTTGACAAAAATCTAACACCATTGTATGATGAAAACATTTTTAAAAACTAGAATTGGAAGGAAATTTCCTCAAGAGCATCTATGAGAAACCCACAGCTAACTATATACTTAATGATGAAACACTGAAAGCTTTCATCTTAGATTTCCTTCTAAGATCAGGAATAAGGCAAGGATGTCTGTGCTCGCCTTACATCTGTTTAACACGATACTGGAGGTTTAGCCTGTGTAGTTATGCAAGAAAAAAAAAAGGGATCCAAATTGGAAACTAAGGAATAAAACTCTATTTACAGATGATATTATCTTAAAAACTCTTAATCCACAAGAAACTATTAGAGCTAATAAAAGAGTTCAGCAAAGTTGTGAGAAACAAGATGAACATATAAAAATTGTTGTATTTCTATGCCTTAGCAAGGAATAATCTGAAAAGGAAATAAAGAAAACAATTCCATTTACTATAGCATGAGGAAGCTTAAATTACGTAGGAATAAATTTAATCAAGTAAGTGTAAGATTTCTGTACGGAAAACTACAAAGCATTGTTAAATAAGTTAAAGAACTAAAAAAATGGAAAGTCATCCCATGTTCATGAATTAGAAGACTTAACATTGTTGGGTTGTCAATACTCTCTAAGTTGATCTACAGATTCAGTGTACTTTGTGTCACAATTCTAGTTACCATTTTTGCAGAAATGTACTAGGTGATCTTAAAATGTATATGGAATCACAAGAGACCCTGAATCTTGAAATAGAAGAACAAAGTTGGAAGACTCACAGTGCCCAATTTTATTTTTATTTTAATTTATTTTTTAATTTTTAAAAAATATGAAATGCTTCATGAATCTGTGTGTCATCCTTGCACAGGGGCCATGCTAATCTTCTCTGTATCGTCCCAATTTTAGTATATGTGCTGCCTAAGCAAGTGCTCAATTTTAAAACTTAGTACAAATCTATAGTAATTAAATCAGAAGGATAAACACCTAGATCAATGGATTCAAATTGAGAATCCAGAAATAGACCCATATATCTATGGTCAGTTGATTTTTAAAAAGGGTACCAAGACTATTCAATGGAAGAAAGAATAGTCTTTTCAGCAAATGATATTGGAGCAACTAGATAGCCATGTATATAAAAGCATGAAGTTAGACCCTTAACCTCACACCGTAAATAGTAATTAATTTAAAATTAATCAAGAATCTAAATGGAAGAGCTAAACTATGAAGCTTTTAGAAGAAAACATAGGGGCAAATATTCATGACCTTGGATTTTGTAGTGGTTTCTTAGATATGACATGACACCAAAACACAAGCAAAAAAATAAAAATTAGATAAATTAGACTACATCAAAATTAAATCTTTTGTATATCAAAGTATACTATCAAGGGAAAGAAAATAGATTTGTGATTGCCATGGACTGGGACAACAGAGAAGATAGAGAGTGACTGCTTAATAGATATAGGGTTTTGGCAAGGATGATGAAAATGTCCTGGAATTACATAGAGGTGATGCTTGCACAACTTTGTCAATATGTTAAAAATATATTAACATACACTTTAAAATGTTTTAAACTGTGAAATTTACTTCATAAATTTTTAAAAAAACATTCCCCAAATTAAGTTCATTAGGTATTCATATAATTCATTTCCTATATCTTAACATTTTTAAACAAATGCAAGAAAACTTTAAGGAAAAAAAATCTCTTCACCATATAGCTATACTGTAATTTAAAATTATGTTTATATTTTATTCTGCTGCATCAGTTTATACCCATCAAGATCTTTTTTTTTTTTTTTTTGAGTCTCCCTTTGTTGCCCAGGCTAGAGTGAGTGCCATGGCGTCAGCGTAGCTCACAGCAACCTCAAACTCCTGGGCTCAAGCAATCTCCTGCCTCAGTCTCCCAAGTAGCTGGAACTACAGGCATGCGCCACCATGCCAGGTTCATTTTTTCTATATATATATATTAGTTGGCCAATTAATTTCTTTGTATTTATAGTAGAGATGGGGGTCTCGCTCTTGCTCAGGCTGGTTTCGAACTCTGACCTCGAGCAACACCGCCTCAGCCTCCCAGAGTGCTAGGATTACAGGCGTGAGCCACCACGTCTGGCCCCCATCAAGATCTTGTAGAAAGCATTTTTATTATGGTTATTTAAAAGCATTTTAATTGGGTTTTGGAATGGCAATTGGGAAGCCTAGTGTTTAAACCAACAGTATATTTAATGTTTCAGAAGAATCCAGTGTACTTAATGGAGAAGTCTTTATTAATTAATGAAATTATTATATGCTTTAGGATATTATTTGAAGGATGCTGTAAATGGTATGATTTACAGCTTCCATATGTGGAGGACCCTCTTGTCCTTAGTTGATGATAGCTATTATATCTTGCCATCATTTTTGTTTCATGCTTGGCCTTTTACCTTTTTTTTTTTTTTGAGACAGAGTTTTACTCTGTTGCCCGGTCTAGAGTGCTATGGCATCAGCCTAGCTCATAGCAACCTCAAACTCCTGGGCTCAAGCAATCCTCCTGCCTCAGCCTCCCAAGTAGCTGGGACTATAGGCATGTGCCACCATGGCCAGCTAATTTTTTCTATATATATATTTTTAGTTGCCCAGCTAATTTCATTTTTTTTTTTTTTTTTTAGTAGAGATGGGGTCTCGCTCTTGCTCAGGCTGGTTTTGAACTCCTGACCTTGAGTGATCCTCCCACCTCGGACTCCCAGAGTGCTAGGATTACAGGCGTGAGCCACCATGCCCGGCCAGCCTTTTACTTTTATCAATAATCTCTTTCTTCCTGCTTAGATGGGCACTATTCAGTAGAAATATAATACAAACCATATATATAACTTTAAATTTTCTAGTAGCCACATTTAAAAATAGAAAGAAATGGGTGAAAATAATTTGAATAAGATTTTATTCAGCTCTAATCAAAATATTAAAATATTTTAACATATAATCAATATCTTTAAAAAACTATTAATGAGTATTTTGCGTTCTAAGTTTTTACAATCCAGTGTGCATTTTACACTTAGCATCACATTTCAGTTTGGACTAGCCATATTTCAAGTGCTCAGTAGCCACATATGGTTAATGACTAAAATATTGGATAATGTAGGCTTAGATAATCAGAAATAGGACATTGTCCCCAGAAGAGACGGACTCGAGAGAAACTTTTTGTTTTCCTTTTTTGTCCCCTCCAAAAATGAATTAGTTTATCTTATTAAGCCAGTTGTTAACTTAAAAGATACAAAGAAAACTGTGTTTTAGTGGGGTAAAGAAAAGAAAACTTGGAATAAGCATGGGTGTGAGGAGTGAGAGTAGGTATGTTAGGAAGGTCTGGAATTCAGAACAAGGGAAATTATGCTGCATACTATTGTGGATAAGTCCAAGAGAGTATGGGACAGCATACAGAAGAAATACACAGAGAGTATGATGAAAGAATTTCCTCCTCTTGCCATGTTCAACATCGATGGAAATCTCTTAGAATCACTTTTAGAATTATAGGCCTATGCAGATCTTCAGGCAGTCCTAACAAAATATTATGGTGAGTCATATGTGTTTTAGTTGATAGCAAGGTTCCCTCTCATACCTTTGAGAAAAAAGGTCTAGTCCTGGAATATATTTCTGAGTCACATGTTAAAGGTGCCTAGTTGGCCAGTGGACTATCTTTACTCTCTCCCTTGCCTGTTCCTATGAAATTGATATTACCAAGTGTATAGAGACTAAGCGCAGATATGACCACAACAGTATATAGTCTCCTGAACTACTATTCAGATAACTCTTTACTTATCTTGTTTTCTCCCCACTTTCAAAAAAAAGAAAACACAGGACATAGGGTCAGAGAATAGAAATAGAAATAAAAATATAGGAAATAAAGAGCAAACAGGAAAGATAAGACTGAAAAAAATCATGGAATCAGACATAAAGAATATACCAACATGCCCCTAGTAAATTAAAATATTTAATGAAGTTTCCTTTTTTTTTTTTCAGAGATGGAAAGTATAGGTAAGGCTAGGGAAACATAACGTAGAGCAAAGGGATGTACCCAAGAGAAAATAGTTGTTTTACCATTTTACTTGCCTTGCTTGCTTTCTTCATAGGTGTGCCACTGCATATGTTCTACTGGCTGAGGAAGAAGCAACAACTATTGTAGACGCTGAAAGGTTATTTAAACAGGCACTCAAGGCAGGAGAAACAATTTATAAGCGGTCACAGCAATGCCAGCACCAGAGTCCTCAGCACGAAGCTCAACTGAGTAAGCAAATTTGAACTGTCTTTTAGCCCTGTAATCTCTGTAATTTGCTTTTGTGTGTGTGTGTGTGTGTTTTGTTGTTTTTTTTTTTTTTTTTTGTTGCCTAGGCTAGAGTGAGTGCCATGGCGTCAGCCTAGCTCACAGCAACCTCAAACTCCTGGGCTCAAGCAATCCTGCTGCCTCAGCCACCCGAGTAGCTGGGACTACAGGCATGCGCCACCATGCCCGGCTAATTTTTTTTTTTTTATATATATTAGTTGGCCAATTAATTTCTTTCTATTTATAGTAGAGACAGGGTCTCGCTCTTACTCAGGCTGGTTTCGAACTCCTGACCTCGAGCAATCCGCCCGCCTCGGCCTCCCAGAGAGCTAGGATTACAGGCATGAGCCACCACACCCGGCCTGTTGTTTTTTTTAAGACGGTCTCACTCTGTTGCTTAGGCTGGGACGCAGTGGCATGATCAGAAGCTCACTTCAGCCTTGAACTCCTAGGCTAAATCAATCCTCCCACCTTAGCCTCCTGAGTAGCTAGGACTATAAGCACATACCACCACACCTGGCTAATTTCTTTTTATTTTTTGTAGAGCAAGGTCTCACTATGTTGCCCAGGCTGGTGGTGAATTCCTGGCCTCAAGCAGTCCTCCTACCTTGACTTCCCAAAGTGCTGGGATTAAAGGCATGAGCCACTGCTCCCAGCCTCTTTTATGTTTAAAACACTAAACAACAATAATAAAACAACTTAATACTTAGAGATTAATTTTCATAAACCTAATCTATTCATGATTACCTATAATCCGGTAAGACAGAAGCATGTTTTAGCCAGAGAATGCTGAAAGGGAAAAGATCTGCTGTGGTTATTGAGAGTGATGCTGCTCTGAGACTTAACAGTAATTTGTTTCATATAATTGGGCTGGTCATTAGAGAAACACAATTTGAAAATATTCAGCATTCAGGAGAGCCTTCTAGCCCTCTAGTGATGATAAGTACCTATTATTTTTATTCTCATCCTTAGTCTAAGCAACAGTAGAGGCACATCATTTGGTTATTCTTCAAACTATATACCTGCATATAGTGGCAGAGAGCAGCCCCATTCACACCATCTGATTCTTAGCACAAAATTCAACCTCATACTTGGCACTGAGTCTTTCTTTGGTAGATTTTTCTCCATGATGTATTTGGGATCAGGAGGGCCATAGCAACTGAAGTCCTTTTTTTTTTTTTACCATCCTTAGCTATACTCTCCCAGTTATGATTGAGACACTTTTACTAAAGATGTTAGCATCAGCAGTGCTGCTGCTTCATGCTATTTTTGTGGGCAGAGCGTTTTAGTTATTTTGGCAGATACTGGGTAATAAATTGAAATGTTTATATAATGCATTATCTGCTGGCAGTTAAATTCTAAATCTTTTGTTTGTGGAAATTAAAATTCAGATAATGTTTTCTCTGTAAGCTAAATACTGATTTATACAGTATGTTTCATTAATGCATGTTTTTCTAATACACAACTGTGGAAATATATAATTTTATAGCCTGAAACTAATGAAACTACATCTGTAAAAAAAGTCATGCCATTTGTCATTGTATAATCTCAGATATGGTTATGAGATAGTTACAGAAATATTTGTTAGCTCTTTGTAGAAGTAGTTTTATAGTTTGTTAATTACTAGCTGTTAAGAAAAGTTTATATTGGCCGGGCGCGGTGGCTCACGCCTGTAATCCTAGCTCTCTGGGAGGCTGAGGCGGGTGGATTGCTCAAGGTCAGGAGTTCAAAACCAGCCTGAGCAAGAGCGAGACCCCGTCTCTACTATAAATAGAAAGAAATTAATTGGCCAACTGATATGTATATAAAAAAAAATTAGCCGGGCATGGTGGCGCATGCCTGTAGTCCCAGCTACTTGGGAGGCTGAGACAGAAGGATCGCTCGAGCCCAGGAGTTTGAGGTTGCTGTGAGCGAGGCTGACGCCAAGGCACTCACTCTAGCCTGGACAACAAAGCGAGACTCTGTCTCAAAAAAAAAAAAAAAAAAAAGAAAAGTTTATATTAACCATGGAAATTTTGTTTTGGACTTTTTTTTTGTTTTTCAGCTAAAAAAATAGAGAATGCTAAAATAATTATACACAAACTGAAAATATTAATAGTAGGTTAATATTATGTTTTCCTATTAATGTGTTTCTTTTCTGTTAATATTAAAGTGAACTTGCTAATTATACATGAATTATATATACTAAGATTACCTATTATTAGAGGCAAAAGTAATTCAATGTATATTTTAAGCTTGTAACACAGAAAACTCCAAACAATACACAAAAATAGGACTCCTATTCAATTTTTTTGTTTGTTTGTTCTTTGTTTTATTTTTCCCATGCCCACCCTCCCCCCTCGAGTAAGAGCTTCAAGCGTGTCCATCCCCCAAACGTTGCACATCTTATTCGTTTGTTTGTATATCCCCTCCTTCCCCCTCCTACCCTTCTGACACCCGATAAATGTTACTCCTATATGTCCACTTAGGTGTTGATCCGTTAAAACCAATTTGCTGGTGAGTACATGTGGTGCTGGTTTTTCCATTCTTAAGATACTGCACTTAGTAGAATCCCATTCAGTTTTCATCACTCAAATTTAACAATCAATATTCTTCCACTCTGACACAATTTAATTTTAATTGAATCTTCCAGGGTAAGTAATTAAAATTAATGGGTAATATGTTAATGAGATAGCAAGCCATAATACAAGAGTGATAGTTGTGTCATTTTTTGTTTTTCTAAATAGGGAGAGATACTAATGTACTAGTATACATTAAAAGAAGATTGGCAATGTGTGCAAGAAAATTAGGAAGAATAAGAGAAGCAGTAAAAATAATGAGAGATGTAAGTAAATCTTATGGCTACACTACTATATTTATTCCCCCCAAAAAACTAAAAATGTAGTTCAATTTGCCAGTTATTTTAAAGCAGAATCACTGCTTTTTAATTGGTAGTTTTTATAATAAGATAGTTATTGAATATACATACTTAAGGGATAGGTCTTCATAGTTTTGTTAAGAAATGAGAATTTCTACTTTAATGAATTTGGCTGTTCTCTATTGAGCTCCTTTGTTATGATTTTAATCTTTTTTTCCTTTTAATATACAGTTGATGAAAGAATTTCCTCCTCTCACCATGTTGAACATCCATGAAAATCTCTTAGAATCACTTTTAGAATTACAGGCCTATGCAGATGTTCAGGCAGTCCTAGCAAAATATGATGGTGAGTCATATTTGTCTTAGTTGATAACATGGTTAAAATATTCTTTTTCCAATTATGTAATTATAAATATAATCATATCCTAATATTTCTCTAATTTTCTCTTTTATTCTTACCAGTCAGTATTTAGTATGCATAAGTATGAGTTGCTATTTAATCTTTCTTCTGTCAAGATTTGTTTGTTTGTTTATTGAGTGCCTAACATGAGCGAAGTATTCAGAATACAACAGTGAACAAGAAGACATGAAATTAGCCCTCATAGGATTTATAGTTTAGTGAAACATACAGACAAATGAGCAGCAGTTACATTGAAGACAGGATATTAGGTAAGATAAATGGAACAGTATGGGTGCTGTGCACATAGGAGGGTTCCTCATTTGTTTTGGACTGTCAAGGAAGGCTAGCAGAAGTTGTTTAGCGTATGTACTTGTAAGAGGAATTCAGAATAACATTTTTACAATGCTTTTTAGTTATAAAGCATAGTTTATTATCTCATCTGATCCTTACAGTAATCCTGTGATGTAGTGGATGAATATTTTTACTGCTTTCAGTTACTAAATGAGGAAACTGGAGTTCGAGAAGGTTAAATTATTGAGTAAGGTCTCCCAGTCAGTAAGTGGTAAACCTGAACTTAAAATCCAAGTATTCCGTTTCTTTGTTCATTAGTCTTCCCATAGTAACAATTCAATATATATTGGTTATTTTTATTATTAACTATTAATATAACATTGTCAGTCTATTACAAATGGAGTTGGGAGTATTTTAAAGCCACATAACCTTTCTCTTCATTCTGAGTGAGGCATCAGCTTTTAACCCCAAGCTGAAAACTTTGGGTTAATGTTTTTGGTCATATCTTTCACTATAACAGAACACATATAAGTCACTTACTCACACTTGTCCTGTTGTAGATTCCTACCCATTAGCTTGGGAATCCCTATGACTTAGAAAATTTGAAATGTGTTATACTTGGAAAGAGAAGTTCATTTCTTTTAAACATCTGGAATTCTTAGAAAGTGCTTCAGATTAGTATAGGCTCATGGAGAAATTTGTAAGAAATTCTTTCCATATGTAACTTACTGGATTGATGGCTTGGTTATGATACTTGTGATGAACAAGCTTAGGGACTAAATATAAAAAATCAGAATAGGACCGATTCATGAAAAATAAAGCTAATTACATTCTGTGCCAATAGGGGTAGAAGAAAAAAAAACCTAAAACTAATAAAACATAGTTAAGTTAATATGCTTCTGTTTTCATTATTTTCATGAGTCCTGATTTTTGCCTTTCTAGAATCCTAAAGAAGTTGAAAGCAAATTTACTTCTTTAGTCCTTCATTTGCTACTATAACTCTGGAATCAAAACCAGCAAGAGAGTTCTTTGGTCTTATTCTTCTGATAGTATTATTTGGGTCATTCTTTTAAAAAGGCTTTATGTAATTAATTTATTTCTAGTTTCAGATTAATTATTTTTATTTTATAAAAAGTAATCATTTAAGAAAATGTAAAAAATATAAAAATTTAGGAAGAAGAAAAAATAAAAATCATCCTTGGTTGAATCAACCTGGATTTAACTACTGTTAAATATATTTTTCCAATCTCAGCTTTTCTCTATGGATCAGTGCAGGTTTTATATAGTTCTAATTATACTATGTCTTTTTCATTGAATAGTCTTATTATAAGTAGATTATTATAAACATTTATTGAGCACTTTCCACCATTGTGCAGAGGACTTCAAAGACATAATTTAATCTCTGCCAGAAAACTACCATTCTCTATTGTAAGAAGAGAAAACTGAGATCAAAGAAGTTGCTACTAGCTTAAGGATACATGGCAAGTAAATAGTAGAATCAAGGTTCAAATTCAGGTTTTTCAACTACATGTCCAGGTGCTTCTACTGTATTACATCTGTTGAATTTGCACTATGAATTATTCTTATTAAAAATTATATTAAGATTTTTTTTGTAATTCTTACCTATGAATTATTACTACAGATATAAGCCTTCCAAAGTCAGCAGCTATCTGTTATACAGCAGCACTATTGAAGACAAGGACTGTTTCAGATAAGTAAGTGTTGTAAAAACTACAATAATTTGGAAAGCCTGCTGAATTCAGTATTATGTTTTTCCTCCACTGACATTAAACCATGTATTTTTTCCTCCCTAATTCCTTCTGAATAACTCTTGATCTTCTAGGTCTTTGAGGCTTCTAAGTATGTGTAGTGGAAACCAGCAAGGTTTTTAGAGCTAAGTAAATCTGGGTTCCTATTCAAACTCTATAACATTCCACTTATAGGACTTTGGGCAAGTTAATCATTTTGAGTGTCTTCCTCATCTCTAAAATGAGAATAATAACACCATAGGGTGGTTGTTTGAGGATTATGTGTATTAAATACCTAAAGCAATATCTAGAAAGAAAGTATGCATGGTAAATAGTAACTATGATGATAATGATAAGGGGTATGGTAGGGAAATAGGTTTATGTTATGTGTTCTTAGATGATAATTCTGAGTTATTTTGCTTTCCTTGTATTTTTGGCTGCCTTTAATGAATTCTCTTTATTCTGCAGATAAAATATTCACAAACCAACCAAATGATGAGCATTTTCTTTTACCCTAGATTACTATACCTTGATAGGAATTAGAATGGAGTATTTAGTCTGTTTCCTCTCAGATGAGAATTTGATAAGAATGTACTTCTATTTCATTAAATTCTCTGGATATCCCTGTGTAGCATTTATTACTTTTCCCAAAGTGTGTCTTCAATGGACTTTTGAAGGCTTTCTTTACCTAAGTTTGAAGATTTTCATTCCTTATGCTGCCTTTTCTTATATGTTGAACCAGAAGGCTTTACTTTCATTTTTAGTAGTCATCTGGCTTTGTCTTTGCCATTGCCAGAAACTTCTTTGATTCAGGGGACTATATTATCATCTAAATCCATAAATTCTCTACTTTTTTGGTATATTCATTTCCTTGTTTTGTGATTTTCTTACAGATTCTCTCCAGAAACAGCCTCTAGAAGAGGGCTAAGCACAGCAGAAATTAATGCTGTGGAAGCAATTCATAGAGCTGTGGAATTTAATCCTCATGTTCCAAAAGTGAGAAATTTTATGATGAAAATGCTATTTTTATTTAAATTCATCAAATTGATGACAGTGTGTAGACCATAGTTTGGGTTGCCGTAATTTGGCTCAATTGTTTTAGTCTGCTATACTTTGATACTTATTATTATCCTTAAAGGCATTCAGAAAGGTAGGTAGCAGCAGTGGTTAACTACATGCTTTGTAATTGCTATCAAATATAATTTGAACTGTGTCCACTTAGCTGTCCTTTTACTATAGTTATAGAGAAGAAATGATCAAATAGCTTGGTCTTAATAAAAGATCATTCATATTTCAGATCGCTAAATCAAATTTCCTGTTACTGTAAAAGCTTTTTCTAGACAAATGCCTGAATTTTGAACTAGGGCTGGGTAGACAAAAACTGAAGACAAATACATTCAAGTAATTAATAATAGGAAACAGATGTAGAAGTTCCCAGAAAAACTGGTGCTGAGTTGGTTTTTATTTAGTCCCAGATGAATCTATATACTTGTTTCTTTTGTCTTTATATTGTACATTTTGCAGTCACACAAATTATTGTTTAATCTTTGTGTGTTATCACGCAAGATTAAATTTTGGGTTTTACAAACAATGTCCCATGTTAGGAAGCATAGACTATTAAAGAATAGATGCCCTTGCTACAAATGTAATTATAGCTTTGATACCAGTATAGTGTGTATTAATAGAATTTGGAAACTAGAGTAAAGAGCTACAGTAAGGAGATTAATCTCTCAAAGATAATCTCCAAGAAGAGAAAGTTGTAAGCCTGTTAGAATAAGTAAAGATATGATTAAGAAAATTACTAAAGTCAAAGAATGAGAGTCAACATACCATTCTTTCATTAAGTGACACTAGTCCTACCTCCCCCCCTTATCTGTGATTTCACTTTCTGCTGTTTCAGCTACCCATGGTCAACCTTGGTCTGAAAATAAATGGAAAATTCCAGAAATAAACAATTTATAAATTTTAAATTGTGTGCCATTCTGAGTAGCATGATGTTATCTTGTGTTGTCCCCCTCTGTCCAGCATATCCATGATGTCTAGCTACCTACCTGCTAGTTACTTAGTAGCTACTTGGTTATCAGATTGACTGTTGTAGTGTTGTAGTGATTGTGTTTAAGTAATGCTTATTTTACTTAATAATGACCCCAAAGTGCAAAGTGCAAGAATAGTGATGCTGGTGGCATATTGGTGGGCTTTTGGTTCTGTGTTTGTTTTTTTTTTTTTTTTTTTAAGAGACATGATCTCCCTCTGTCATCCAAGCTGAGTACAGTGGCATCATCATAGCTCACTGAAACCTCCAACTCCTGGGCTCAAGTGATCCTCTGCCTCAGCATCTTGAGTAGCTAGGCCTATAGCCATGCACCACCACACCTGCCTAATTTTTCTTTTCTTTTTTTTTTTTTTTGAGACAGAGTCTCGCTTTGTTGCCCAGGCTAGAGTGAGTGCCATGGCATCAGCCTAGCTCACAGCAACCTCAAACTCCTGGGCTCAAGCAATCCTACTGCCTCAGCCTCCTGAGTAGCTGGTACTACAGGCATGCTCCACCATGCCCAGCTGATTTTTTCTATATATATTAGTTGGCCAATTAATTTCTTTCTGTTTTTAGTAGAGATGGGTTCTCCTTCTTGCTCAGGCTGGTTTCGAACTCCTGACCTCGAGCAAGCAATCCGCCCGCCTCGGCCTCCCAGAGTGCTAGGATTATAGGCGTGAGCCACCGCACCCGGCATGTTTGAGAAGTTTTAAAAATAGTTTTCAGGCCAGGCTCAGTGGCTCATGCCTGTAATGCTAGCACTCTGGGAGGCTGAGGTGGGTGGATTGCTCAAGGTCAGGAGTTCGAAACCAGCCTGATCAAGAGTGAGACCCCGTCTCTACTAAAAAAAATAGAAACAAATTAATTGACCAACTAAAAATATATAGAAAAAATTAGCCGGACATGGTGGGCATATGCCTGTAGTCCCAGCTACTCAGGAGGCTGAGAAAGAAGGAATGCTTAAGCCCAGGAGTTTGAGGTTGCTGTGAACTAGGTTGATGCCACGGCACTCTAGTCCAGGCAACAAAGTGAGATTCTGTATAAAATAAAATATAAATAAAAAAAATAAAATAATTTGCAATCTTAGATAATATTATTTGATCTTAGATGCCTAGAAGAAGCTCTAGCAGGATAGGATCACCTTAATCCAGTTTCAGGGATTGATAATTTCTAAGGCACCCAGATGACATGAAATTGGGCTGCAGTTCATTAAAGTTTTATTTTATTTCTAGTTCACCCTTATTTCTAGGATGTAGCCTTTCATGGTCCCAATCCTATTGGGGAGGTTTTACTAGAGCTCTTACTCTTGACAGGCCTTGGACTCTAACTTTTGTTGTCTTATCTTTGTGAAATTGGCAAAAAGGCTGAAAACTTCTTAGCCATCTCATCCAAAATTGACAAGTCCTCCTACAGTAAAAGAAGCTCCATATGTGCCTTGCTTTTCTGGATTTCTGTCTTTTTTAGATTGCGCCCTGGTAATTCTTTACTCTTCGTTAATTCTCTGATGTATTCAATTAGATATTTGGCTCAGTTTTTCTAGTTATCTGGGAGGACTGATCTGAATTTCCTGTGTCCCATTGCTGGAAGCAGAAGTCTGTAAATAATTTTAAATGAAATCCTTGGTTCTCATACTGCCCAGTAGATTCGCAACCAGACTGCCAGTGTCTGAATTCTGGGGCTACCATTTCTTAGCTGTATGACTTTGGACAACTTATTTAACTTCTCTGGACTTGAGTTTCTCCATCTGTAAAATTAAGATAATATTTTGTTTCTCATAGATTTGTTAAAAGGATTAAATGAGTTCATATCTTTAAAAGGGTTAACAGAGTGGCTGACACATAGTAAACATTACAGAAGTGATGATTATTACTGTTCTTATCAGGCTGAGATGGTAATTTGTTCCTTGTGGGAGAAAATAAGCAGTAGTTATTGATCAAAACTATTAAAATGAAATGCACCATTAAGATGTCTAAAATTTTTATTTAATTCTACTCAAAATAACAAAATTTGAAACTATCTTCTCCCTGTGGTTGTAGACTTGTTTTCTGTCTCAAAAACCATGTTATGCAAAATGTATTCTCAGCAGTAACAATTCTGATGATGTGCATTGGTTTTCAAAATTACTGTCTGAGGCACTTGGGTGGGGGTGATGCTAACCGTTTCCCTAATAAGAAAATTAAATTGTTGTATAGGTAACATAAATTAATGTCTAGATTGAATCTGCTTTAGAAAATCTGTGATGCTGTTAGGGATGCTCCTTATTGCTGATATGGAGAAAGTTTTAGTGGTCTGGATAGAAGGTCAAACCATTATAAAATTCCCATAAGTCAAAGCCTAATCTAGAGCAAGGCTCTAACTCTCTTCATTTCTGTGAAGGCTGAGAGAGATGAGAAAGCTATGGAAGAAAAGTTTGAAGCTAGCAGAAGTTGGTCTATGAGGTTTAAGGAAAGAGCCATCTCCATAACATATAAGTGCAAGGTGAAGCAACAAGTGCTGATGTAGAAGGAGATGAATGTTGTTTTCATGCCTACTGACACAGCATACATTCTGAAGCCCATGGAATAAGCAATAATTTCAACTTTCAAGTCTCAATATTTAAGAAATACATTTCATATGCCTGTAGCCTGATTCCTCTGATGGATCTGGTCAAAGTAACTTCTATATGCATTGGGAAGCCAAAAAATTTCTGTTACTTGCTTTATTGTGATTTTCACTTTATTGCAATGGTCTGGAACTAAACTCACTGTATCTCCAAGGTATGACTGTACTTACAATGGGGAATTCATGATATATAAAATATGCCTCACTAAAACTGTTTATATATCTGTATATATACCTATGTATGTATGCACACATACACTTTAACATGTTAAAATCATTTTTATTTATAGGTAGGAATTTACCTATTTTCCTCTCAACTAAATATCAAAGCAGATGACAGTTCAGTTGTATCAAAATATCCAGCTAAGCAGAGTGGTGCTATAAACTTAGATTATTGTTTGTGGACAAATACTTTAAGCTGAGTGTTATCAAACACTATAAATAATTATTAAGGAAGGTTTTTTGGAGAAATTTTAAGCTCTACCAAACTAAATAATATCACATTTAAATAACATTAATGTTAATATGAACTGGGAGAGCTCTGGAATTTGTGGCTGTCTGTTTTTTACTAGGCTTTTACAAGTGATGAAGTATATACAGACCTCTTTCTTTCTCTTTCTTCTGTTTTGGTTTCTATTCCTGATTCTCAGCTGGAGGCAAGCAAACATAAAGGGCATTAGACGTTTTCTTCTTCAAACTTCAACTGTGGGTCATGATAACTTATTTAACTTGATAAACAGTGACATTTCAATATGTATTTCTTTAAAATTTTCTTTTATTCTCACAAATTTATTATGCATATTTGTCAGATGGTTGTATGAGTCTTAGCAGTAAAATGGCAAAGGATAAAGCTGCTTTAGCAAGAAATATTTTTTGGCAGCTTTCCACATAACTGCAGCAGAAATGGCTATAGGTTTAGAGCTGTGCAATTTGTTAAAGCTGGAAACTATTAGAAAGTGCAGTAGAGAAAGATCATATAAATCTCTTCAGGCTATGAATTTGCATTTAGTTATTTCATTAATATTGATTGCATGTACAGGTTTTTTTATTTTACTCAATGAATTTTAGTAGATAGTACTGAATTTTAGTATTATAATACTGATAATATCACAGTAAAAAATTAGCATATTTTTATGGTTTTCAACTTGCTATGGCTTTGGTTTAACAGATTTTTTTTTAGTTGTCAAACAAAGATATAATGCATCTTTCAGTTACTATAGGAATTGTCAGTCTTTGGATTTTCAGTAGAAGATGTTTCAGATATTCTAAGTATTTCACAGCATCCTGTTTCATTCATTCTAGTCTCTCATATCTTCATTATCCAACCATCCAGTAGTTTTATATACAATATAATTCACATACC